GAAGTGGTGTAGGCCAGCTTTCCCTCAGCTCTGGTCTAGAGTTCCAGCCTCAGGTCTCCAGCTGATGACCTGGGTTCTGATGATGCAGCTTTAATGGCTTTCCTGCTGTGTCTCCACAGCCTTTCCCTCACTTCTATCTTGTGGGGGCGGGGTAGTGGAAGAGGACCGCAAACATTTTGTACCAGGTCACAAATCCTGTTGGATCAGGTTACCGCCCTTTATGACATTAATTTCTTTAAATTTAATCACCTTAGGAGCCCTATCTTTAAGTGCAACCCCACTGGGGTGAGGAAGGATTTCAATTTTAGGGTAGTAGGAAACATAAATATTCAGTCCACAATCTTCACTTATTTGTTGACATTTATTTATCCAAAAGAGTAGAAAAGGACCAAGGGCTGTCTATTAGGCCGGAGTAAAGAATTTTCATAGGCCAGATGTTGTTGAAAACTTGTATATACATCGTGTTTAGCTATTACGACCTTCATTTCTCTGTCGCAATGGGATCTCTCTGTGACCCCAAAAGGTAAATAGCATTTGTCTTTGGTAAGCAGCATTGCACAGCTTAGATAAATTAGGTAATTTACTGCTTATGAAGTTGCCTGCATACTTCCAGGCTGTAATGAGATTATAGACTTGTCCTGGGAGGTGTGTAACACGTTGATCATGCCACTTGCGCCATAATCTGTCTAATGTCACAGGTCAGCCGAAACAAGTCCTACAGCTCACTCCAGGCCAGGGACCACTACTGCAGAATCATACACGGGGGGAGGGCCTAGAGCCCATCATAATGGCGTCTTTGCTCCTATTCTTTGTGAAAATGGTTGCCAGCACGGTCCAGCCTGGGCTATGTTAAAGAGCCACCTTTAGCCAACTCCCACCTGGGAATTCATCATGACCAGATACCCAAGTCTCACAGTGGAGCTTCACGTGTCACAGATGTCCCGCAAGTGTTGAACTGGTGGAAGCGCTAACCTCCCTGAGATCACAGGACCCTGTCAGCATCATCCTAATGATGCCACTGCCATTTTCTGAGGATTGTGTAGGGGAGTGTTCATGCTGTTTACTTTAAAAAGCTAATTGTAGCTCTTCCCCTATTTCCCCCTGGGTTTATATTACTTTAGGCCAAAATTGCTTAATTTTGGCCTTCTTTACTAGAGATCCTCCTATTGAAATATCTTTCACGTTTTCTACTGGTCAGAAACTAATTCTATATAGGATTCACTTAAAGATTAAGATCTTGAGGGCTTAAATTTATCATTTATGCTTTGTCTTGAACTCTCGTCATTCTAGATGTATTTCCTCTTTCTCCACCTCTGTAAAGAACATACACAAGGAACAAAAGAAGTCAAGAATGAGTAGAAGGTGTAACTTTGGTAAATGGGATTCCCTGAGAGGAAACAAGGCTGAGAGTACCACAGATGTGTACTGGGAGGACAGCACTGGGTGGGCCGAGGGATGAGCTGAGGTCATTCCACAGACAAGAGGGTGCTCCACAGGGCAGGCAGGAAATAAAACTTGTTTAGGAGCCGTTCCCTTGTATATTAGTACTTGTAGCAATTACACAAATGTTCAGTTGAATCTCGTAACTATTCCTAAATTAAACGGTTATATCTTTAGCAGTTTTATTCCCTAAAAAGAATCCTGTAAAATTAAAGTTATATATTGCCATGAATGTGTCTATGTACATACATATACAAACAATGCTATACAGTCCTCCTACTGAAAAAGGCACTTTGAGAAACCTAAATGGTATTATTTCATTTCCTTTTCTATAAAGTAAACTTTTACTCTTTTAAAAGATCTCACGTTTAAGGGTTTTTCTTCAATAATCATATGACTGAGTGCTTTAGCACAGCAACTTGAAACTTTTTTGTTATTTTATGTGTTTATTTTTATCTTCTCTGTGTGTGCATGTTTGGATGTGCATCCATATGTCCATATGTGTGAGTGTGTGTGTGTGGAGACAGAGAGACAGACAGAGAGTTGATTCCCCCTGCCACCTTGTAATTTTTCCTCTCATTGGAACACTTTTATATGTAAACACACAGTAACTACACAATGTATGACATTAATTCATGGGGTTCTCTCGAAGGTTTTTAGCTCTCCAGCGACTTTCTTTTATCATTGCCTATATTTAAGAAATGGTATTTTTCTACTTTAACCTATATATACATAAGCTATGTGTGTATATAATATATGTATTTTTAAGTGTGTACATATATATTTTTCTCCTTTTGCAGCCTACCAGATGCAAAGCAGACACACATCTGGCTTCTATCAACTAGGGAGTAGCTTTAAGCACATCCTGTTAAATTGTCTGTTCCCAAAAGCAATCCCAACATATTCAGTAAATGGTATTTTTCCCCCACAGTTATGTTCTTGATTGGACCGCAAATTTTTCCATAATCCTGTACTTAAAAAATAATACAGTCTAATCTTTATTCATAATCATCAGTGACCCCCATTCCAGCCTCCTTTAGGGAAATATTTTAAACATGACACATTAAGTAAACTGTATCCTGGTTCTGGAAAGAGACATCAAGAGTCTCTGTGCCAGCTCTGGAGTCATGTGGTTGAGCTGATTGCTTCCTTATCTCTGCATAGGAGATATAGCTTGTGTAGTTGGCACTCCCCTGGCTCCCACGTGTCTCGGGCATTCTAGATGCTAGTATTGCTCCTAGAATGGTTTCAAATCAAATGCTTATAAAGGAAATCAGACTGCTAGTTTCAAAGTTAAAATTAGCTGGAATTTTATTTTGATATTTACACTAATAAAAGTTTGAGATTTAAGAGAAAAAAATTTCTTTAGGATAAAAATCTTATAAATGTTCCATGTTTCTTCTTCAGGGCATTTTTCTGCCAGCATATTTCATGATCCAGCTGTAACTGCTAAGGGCTTGTGATCAGTATTCATCGCCCATATTTTGTTTTGTTTTGTAGTTATAATTATGGTTAGGCTCGACGTTTATGTCATGAGGGGTAAATATTACCAGTAGTCACTTGGGGTCCTCGATTCACTGGGTATCAGAGAAGCAAACAAACCTGCAATGTATAACAATGGTAGCAACTTCCTCAATAGGGGTAGTGTGATCGTTAGAATGAATTGTCACTTGGGTGATGTCTCTGGGGATAACTGTGGGGATCATCTTGTTTCCATTAATTGATGTGGAACGACCCATCTTAATTATGGGTAAGAGCATCCCCTGCACATATATGAGGAGGAGCGCTGAGAAACAGTACAGTCTCTGCAGTCTTCTGATTATGGACAGGACATGAGCAGCTGCCTCCGCCTCTGACTGCTGTGACACCCCTGCCATGGTGAACTGCTCTTTGAACTGGGAGCTAAAGTAAACACTACTTCCTTGAGTTCTGTGAGGTTATTTTATCAGGGCAATGGGAAAGAAACTAAGACAGGGTGCAAACTGTCCTCTGGGGTTTGAATTCTAAGTTGGGGCAGAAAGTAAGCCCGTGCTCCTTTTCAGATACGAAGGGAAACAAGGAGTGGAAGGAGGGCATGAATTACAAAGTTACCCTGCCTCTCTCCAAGGGAGTCTCATCATTGGCCTGTGAGCGCTCAGATGATTACAGGTTTTGGTAAATCCAATCATCAGCATCATTCACGTTTCTTTGTGAAATGAATCTGGAATTTTCACATTCTGAAATGAATCCAGAAAGGTCACAGAGAGTGTTTCTGAATGTGTAGTGTGCGCTGCCTAAAATGATGTAACCTGTGTTTGCCTCACAATCACAAACCAGGGATTAGGAAAATGAAAAGAACAAATGAGTTAGTTTGTTTGTTTTTGAGATATTTTAGTCCATGAAATTTTTATATTATGGTGTATTTTGTTATCTGTATTTCTTTGGTATTCGTGTTTGAACCATGTACCATACTGGATGAACCAGGATCTATTAACTATCCATAGAGTAAGTAGTATCTTCTCTTAAATACTCTTACATTAACTAGTATCTTTTCCACTCGGTACCTGGCTCCAGGGCAAGACTGTAAGGGGTCTTGTGTAATAGATCCTTCCTCACCTCCTAGCTGACCAAGACAACACACACCATGCAGTTCGCATGTGATACTGAATGGCTGTGTGCAATGCTGAACTTTGGTTTCTAGAAAACACAGTTGATGTTAGCTATATCCAAGTGACTAAAATGGTTCATCTCTGTAGACTGGAGCTCCATCTCACACTTATTTATTGCTTGTAAATGATACCTTAACACAAATCCATTAAAGTAGAAATAAAAGTAATTTGTGATTCTAATTATTTCAAATAATAAATCACTATTTAAAATAATCACTTCTGTAACCTTCAAGAAAAATGTTATAAGCATGCACTCATATATATAATATATGTATACATTTCACACAGAAATTACCATACATAATATTATTATGCCTTAATCACCTATAAGGACCAGGAAGCATTGTTTTATAACTATATCATAGTTCATTTGGGTGGTGTCTGTCATGTTTTGGACCTTCCTAATCTTTCTAGTCTTTCACCATGAAGACCAATACTGTAGTGAACATCTCTAAATGTAGAACTTTCTCAGCTGTATTTGTATAAATATTCCACCCTGAGAATTGTTGGCTCAAAAGGCTTTCTGTTTAAGAGCCCATAAAGCAATGAAGTAGCCACACACTGTGAGGTGACAGCTTACTATTGTTACGGTGCATCCAAATGGCTGACATTAACCAACAGAATATGAAATACTTTACTGAGGTCAACATGGTGCTACGGACTGTGACTATGGCTGTAATCATCATTGCCAGTGTTTAATATTCCTTAATGTTCCTTCAGAACTGCCTTGTCATTTCACAAGCAGCAAATATTCTGGGGTTCATTTTATTTAAGGGACATTTAAAAGAGGAACTGACCAGGACCTCCCTGTGCAGAACTGCCTTCAAAGTTGAACAGTCTAAGGAAGACTGCATTGTTCCTTTAGGGAAAAGCCTGTGTTTTTAACTAACGAGTGTGTTTTCCCTCCCTCAGGTGGAAGGAGAGATTGTGGGAAAACAAAATGACAGAGAGGCGTGGTATTGCTCCTATAACTTGGAACTGGAGAGGAGGCAAGATGCTGGCATAGCTGTTGAACTGAGAGCCTGCTATGCCAGTATATTGCCATCTTTCCTGTCTGACAGCAACTTGGCCACCTCCATGCTGCTTCTCCGTATCTTGCTACAACCAATACACAACATGTAGGGCTTTCGTGACGTGGTCTGCCCTACCCCGACTTCTCTCCAGTCATCTACCAAATCACTTGCTCCATTCTATCCACACTGGCCTTTGGGGGCGGTTCTGAGACGTACCACGGATGGTCCTGCCTCTTCACTCATCTTTCTTTGTTTCATCATTTGGCTGCCAGTGAAGACATCGTGTTCTTGGAAAACTCTTTCATAGTGGCCTTGTCTATAAAAGCTTCCATGTGCCCAGCCACTGTTCATCTCATGACCCTGCTCTGTCTTTTCAAAAATATTGGTCTTTATCTGAACATGTTTGCTTGCTGCCTTATTTCCTGTACCGGACTGTGAGTCCTTTAAGGGAGACCAGTCTTGACGTGCTTATTCACTGTATCCCTAGAGCCTGACACTTGTAAGTCCTCAATTCGTGTTTTTGAAACTCTACCCTGAACTTATTGTGCAACAGAGGTGTCAAATAATTAGATCTTATCATGCCATGAAGGATTCTGACGAAACACTGGTTTATAAGTAACAAAGCATAAATAAGTAATATTGATTTCTAGGCCTGCAACCCAGCATCTTATCAACCCAAGCTACAATAAAGTTATTATCGAGTCTACCAATTCAGAAGACAGCATATTGTATTGAAAAGACATCATATTCAAAATAAAAGTTATTTTCCCATCTCACCATGACTGTTACTTCTGTGTTCTTAGTTAAACCATATTTTTTTTTCCTGTTGTACGATAATACTGACCCCACAGCATCCTCCAAGTAAAGTTAGTGAGATTATTCTTAATCATGTCTGAAAGTTATTATCTGGAAAATTTATGGTGTGTTCATACTGGTTAAAATGCCATGAGTTTTTAGTTATTTTATGCCCAGAACTCTTTACTTTGAAGCAAATGATCTTAAGTGGAAATTCCAGACCTGTAGAGCACGTAGCATTCAACATTAAGACACAGAAAGGGTGAGACCAAACATTTAATTATCATGATTCTCAAATGTTTCTTCTGCTTCCTTCCTCTTCCTTGCCTTCCTTGTTTCTGGAGTTTCCTCATTGTCAGCCTGGGCCTTTAACTCATCCTCTGTCTCATTAGAATAAGAATGCATGTGTATTTGATATTTATATTTTAAAGCTTTAGTAGGAATATTTGCTGCTGATGCACGTAATTTTATATTAACTTGATGTTTTTCCAAGGAAGAAAGTAAGAATCACTCTTAGCTGGGTGCTGTTACTACTGTTTCCAGAAAACACTCATTATGTCTTGCTCATGCCTCTGAGGGTATACTGAACAGAGCCCTTAATTTAACAGGTGGGAAGCATAAAGGTGTGGTAATTTGGTAATATATATAAAAATGTTCTCTTTATACAAGGGTAATTAACATTTACAAGGCAATATGAGAATTAAGTGACTTCAAAAATGTTAGGTACTTTTTCTAATCTTAGGTATCTGCAGATTTGATTCTCTTGGTTTTTTGTGAATTTATCACCTTGTTTTGTTCTTTCAATTCTAGAAGTTATTAGCTAGAAATAAAGATAAAGAACAACCACCACTGATCCTGGGAGGTCATAATAAATGCAACACTTTGCACGAAGACTTTGAGGAACCCACTTAGCTGCTGAAACCTGATGGCCATTTTGCTTCGTTCCTTCATTATTTTGATGGGGGAAAATGCTGGGGAATCAATAGGTCATACATCATAATAACATACATCTTACTTTAAGAATGGAAACTTGGAAGATTTATTTCCACCAATACTTAGTCTTTAAAAGTTGCTGGAGCTTGGGGTTCCTTTGCCCTTTCCATAGTTCTGACTGCATCAGTTGTAGAGATATCCACTGCCCTCTTGATCTCAGCGCAGCTGATAAGTGTGGAAATGAGCCTGGAGCTTAGATAAGCACTCCTCATCTGAAAGGGCTTGACTGTAATTCATAAACACCTGCCCTCTCCTTTTTATGCCAACTGAACAGTCACAGAAGAGGGCTTAGCACAAAGAAACATCCAAGGGAGATGCTAGCAAATTGGGATTCTAAGATGACCAGCAGATCTGACCTGTTCTGGATGCTGCATTTGAAGTGTGTTTTAAAATGCAGATTCCCAAACCACCCCTAGAGAAGTGGGTTGAATGAAGTGTTCATGAAGACTTAAGACTCTTCGTTTTTGAGGAGAATCCTGTTGGCCTGGATTCTGTTTGAGAAGGTGCCATACTTTGAAAACTCTCAACCTAAGTCCTAAGTCAGAGGGCAAGTATTTAAAACCGTGTACACAGTTTTCAGTATAGGAGTCGGCCACCGCCATGGAAGGAGCCCGCCTTCCCACTGTGTCTGAGCTTAGGAAAACTGGAACAATGTTTTGTGCTCGTGATCCAGCCTCTAAGGTCACTTACATAAACAGCCCATATAACTGCACCCCAGGCCGCAGCGCTTCTGTGGAGTTGTTTTTAACTTCCATCATCTTTTCTCCAGGGGTTCACGTTACAGCTTCCATGCTGTATTATTTTCTTTACTGATTGACATAATGTTGACCCAAATCTTTCACCTCTAAACAGTTCCTCTTCTGAAGGGTTTCTGTCAAAATGTAAATGATACACGAGCTCCTCCAGGCCACAGATGAGCTCTAATTGTGCAGAAGGGGAATTTCCAAGATTTATAGGACTCTTAACGGCTGTAAATCCTTCTGTAACCCAAGGGGGTCATATCTTAATTGATCTATTTCTTAGGTTCATGTTTTTGTGGATTTTTTTTTTATAAATTAGGACATCTTTTAATTTTGAGATAGAGTTGTGTAATAGGAAAAGCTTCAGATAGAGAGGCAAAAGGATTTGGGCAGGGCCCAGACCTGTCGTCTTCTTGTACTAGTCATGATTCAGGTGGATAATTTAATTGACTCTCTTACTTGTAAAGCAGATAATGGCAGGAAAGATTATGTGAAATATGAGAAAGAAAGGGAAAAAAATAACAGCTGTAAAAACTGCATATGCAAGATGAAAATAATCTATAAAAAGAGACTAGTTCTGGATTTCAGTAGGAATTAACTTTATTTAAAAGTTTTCAAAGCCGTCAAAATGGCTCAGCATGTTGCTGGGCCTGACAGCCTGCAGCTGATGTCCAGGACTCTCAAGGTGGAAGTAGAGACCCAGTTTGCTCCCATCGTCCTCTGACTTCCAAGGTCCCACTGATGTATTTACAGCATACAGCCACACAAATAAATGTAATTCTATTTCTTCAGTGTCTTATTGCTTTGTACTATTGCCCAGTTCGATAAGAAACTAAATAGAGTTCTGAGACAAAGGCAAATGGCTTTTGTTCTCATCCAGTGTAAGGCACTTCTTTTTGTATTTAACTTTGTCCCAAGAGAAACTCCCGACTCTTACATGCTGCTGAAAACCATGGACCTGGGGAATAAGATGGAACTCAGCAGTAATGTGCCAGGGGTTCAGTCCCCAGCACTGCAAGTAAATAAAAACAAGCAACAAACAAAAAGTGTTGAAGCAGAGTGTGGTCGTGCCTGCCTATAAGATCAGTACTTGAGGCAGAGGCAGGAGGATCGTTACTTGAGAAGTTGGTATGGGCTATATAAAGAGGTCAAAATCAAATAGTGTAGCTCAATGACAGAGTACTTCCCTAACGTTCAAGGCCATGGGTCCAATCCCTGGCTATATAACAAATAAATAGGAATCAAGAGTACCTTGATAATGACTCATGACTCACACTTCCTGTCTGATTGGCATCGCAAAGTGTCAAACTAGAAACAAGGTCTAAATTGTAAATTTATATTGTTTATAAGTTTATCCAATTCTTTTCTCTAATCCTACAAAAATTTGCTTTGGAGTAGTTGATATATTAGTATAATTATTTTTTCTTGTCTACATGAGATCCTAATTGTTTAATTTTGGTGTGTAGCAGAGAGGTCAGAATGTGTTCGTACGGTAGCCTCATCTTGCTTCAGCTATGTCCTTGAGAGGTACATAGAAGACCTAATAGGGAAGGTTGGGGGTGTCCATCATAGCAGTGAACTCCCTAAAGAATAAACTTTTTCCAGACCACAAGAAACATCAATGTCCTGCTTTTAGTTTTCACTGTGATGTAGACAATGTTTTCATTCCCGTTAAACTACACACCAGTTTCCTTTTTAAAATGCAACTTTTCTTTAATGTATTGAAAGTTAACTGAGTTAAAATGTTAAGAAGTATATGGTCAGTGAATTTGACAGATATTAGGAAAACTGCTCAAACTTTGGGAAACTGAAGTTTGGATAAAGTCATGCAGAGGAACAGTTGGGGAGAGCCTCATGAAGAACATGCTAGGTTTTTACCTGAAGTTTCTCCACTGTGTGGTTCATTTTGAGATATGTGTATTATTTATATGCATGAAGAAATTCTTAAAGAGAGGATTAGTGTCCTTTGTCCAAAAATTATACACACTCAGCACCATTCCCCAGAGATCCTGTTTAGGGTTAGTACCACTTCTCAGATAATAAGGGAAGTGTCTAAGCCAAGGCATTGTTGATAAGTGATAAGTTCATTGAGAAGCTGACTAGGCAATTTCGGGTTGTTAGTAGGTCACTGGGCATTTGTACTGTCATGAAGATAAGATGATCTTCATTGTCAACCTGGCCTTTTACATCCATAGAGGTGCATGATCTGCAATATACGACCAAAGCAGAAACCCTTTCCCTGTAGTCTGGAAAACTTGCAACATCTTAGTTTGCATGACAAAAAAAAAAAAAAAACAAAAAGAGATTTGCCTTTTGATGCCTGTGTATTTGATGCCTGTGTACCTTCCATGAGACCCATGATTTAGAAAGGTATTGCCAAAGACAAGTTGCGTAAACTTAGACCAGAAGTCTAGAAATCCCTGTAGAGAGAAGAATCAAGTATGCACGAGGAAATAAAACTGGGGAAAAGGAGTGACTGGGAAATGAGCCATGCTTTAGCTTAACGATTTGCATACTTTAAAATGTCCTGTCTGATTGCTTGACTTTGCAGAATGATCAGTGACTTGATTTGCTGATTCCAAATTAATTCCAAAAAATGGACTTCAGAGATTTAGCATAAAAAACCTGTTTCATCTGTTGCTGGGCTGGAAGGTAGGGATAGTTGTTGATATCCAATTCTAGTTCACTGGAAAGAAAGCCCTCCCTAGAGAGGCTTTGCAGTGATAAAGTACAATAATACAGTTTCAAGCTGAAAAAGGAAAGAAATTCCCACTTCAAAATGATCAGTCTTTAGGTGAATATTTTTTAAACATTTCTCTACACACATTTCAAATAATCATGTTATGCTTATAATTCCTTTCATATATATGTATATAATTTCCTCAATACTTGAACTGAACGTTAAAGTTCTAGCAGTAATTAATTTGGAAGTTGTAGTAGGGAGCTGTGGGCCAGTTCCCGCCACCCAGCTCCCAGCCACCGGCTAGCTTAGCCCCAGAATAATTACACAGAAACTGTATTCTTTTAAACACTGCTTGGCCCATTAGCTTCTAGCCTCTTACTGGCTAACTCTCACAGCTTGATTAACCCATTTCTATTAATGTGTGTAGCACCACGAGGTGGTGGCTTACCGGGAA